AATGTGAGGAGATCCAGTCTGCTCCTTGCACTCAGATTACAGAAAGAACCAAACATGATTTATCGAAACGGTCACGGAAAACCAGACCAGTGGATGTGTTTGTTAGTAAAAGGTTTGCTGTTGGGGGGCAGCACAAGGTCTGCTTAGAGTTGTTTCAGTACTGCACTGCCAACTTCCCTCTCTGTTATGGTGACGTCGGACCAAAACGTTCTTGCTTAGTATGCCTAAACAAGGACTGAGTACTGAACTCCCAAGCGGTGAGGAGGGAGGCCCATCTGCACAACAGTCAGCTGCATCAGGTGTTGTAAAGGTTTGATTTAGTGCTGAACTTACCTTCGGTTCTGTTTCCAACATCCACTTGAGCTAGTTTGCTTGAATGTTTGTGCACTGAACAAAACTCTTGAATGGTTTTGCATACGTATTTCTCTTACAAACAAATGTTTTGTCTCCTTTGGATTGTGTCTTTAATTTCTCACAGGACTCTTCCTGTTTCAGCATTTATCAATGAATGGAAGTATTATCAACAAGTATTAATATATATGGAAGGTACGGAACATGAAGGCAATAGACAGTAGCAGGATTGAAGTCTTTACTGCTCATGAAGTCATGAAAACTGATGAAATAGTCCACTTTAAGTGAAAGTAACCTTTCTGCTTTACAGTGGTAATACTGGACGAGTTTTGAAAGCTCTAGCCATATTTAACATAGATTCTTTCCATTTTCTAGGTATGCCAGATATTTGCCATAATATATTGAATTATCCATTTACTGAATAATCTGTGTAGAGGAGAAGTTGAGCTGGGACATAGTTGCTTCTGATTTTCCAAGGAATTTTCTGAAGACAATTTTAGTATCTCATCACTCAGGAAAGCAGTGTGTGTCACAGATTTGGGGAACAAGCTTTTTGTGTATTGACCCATCCCCAACCCTTTTTAACACTTGTTTTGCATTAAATTGCCCTTTTTTCTTTGCCTAGGCTCAATAGATGAGGGGGTTACAGAGGGATTACCCACACTCCAAAGTACTTCTGGCACTAACGCTCATGCAGATGATGATGATCGGTATGTACCCATGTAGTGTTCAAACTGTTCTGCAGCAAGTAGTGTGCTGTAATTAACCTACCCAACCTTAATCTCTGAATGTCTAGCTGTTTGTACATATATTTCTCTGTGTTGATCAAAGTACAATCAGTGCCTGAAGGATCAGATGCTTTAGAAGAATGTAGGTGATGAAAGTCAGCATTTGCTTACTTGTTGCTTTTCATTTCCTGTGTATTGCCAGGCTGCACTGGTAAAGAAAGATATTCATGTTTTTACTGTTTCTTCGTGACTGCCCTTTATTAATAAATAAAAAGTCTTTATTGTGAAACAGGTGTGGTTGTTACATGCATACTACAGCTGATGTAAAGCCACAGAAGCAACAGAATGAAAACAAGTAGCTAATCTTGGCCCCTCCAGACAGTATTATTGCCATAAACCACAGAGCATCCTTAAATCTTTTCTCCCAAACTTTCTGCGTGCAGCCTTTTACCAACATACTCTGTCATTCTATGTAAATATTTAGCAACTCATTTTGTTGTGAGTGATTTATTAGCGGGATAAGGGAAGGCTGGCAGAGAAGGAGGAACTGAGATTGTTCTGCTTGGTCGAAGATGTGTGGTAATTCTGTTAGAGTGAAGTTATGCACCTACAAGTGCGTACAAGGGTACACACAGTTGGTTTGACTTGTATTTCTTTTCTTTTGTGGTGCGTGTCAAGTATGGTGTGTAGATAGCTATTCGGTTTCGTAGCAAGACTTCTACTAAAGTATCGACAAGCTAGCCTTTGTGTTGTATTTTGTTAGGCAAGTGGGTCTGCGTAAGAAGTGTGAACCTTTGGGAGTGACTCCAGAAACTGTGTCAAGTGAAACTCCCTATAGAGATAACTATCAAGAGCTGCATTTTTATTGCTCATAAAATCTTTCCTGTCATAAAATCATTTCTGTCTAAAACCTGCCCCACTGCAGGAATAAATCTGAAGGGAAAATAACTGCCTAGAAAAGATTTTGTGTATGACAAAGAGGATTTTAGCCACCTGCTACCTTCTATTGTGCAGACCTCAATATAAAAATAATATCTAGCACTTAGAGTTTTGATTGATAGTAGAAGCACTTGTTGCATTAGAACTAATCCCGATTTTTTAAAGCGGTAACTCTAAAGTCAAGTTGCATATGTATTTTCAGTGGTGGATAATTGCAGAAATTTCCCGTGAAATTACAGAACTTCAACAAAAACTGCATAGAAAATTCAAAATGTATAAAATCTGTGAAATTTTCCACTGAAAGATCTCTTCCATGTAGAGAAGAAAAGAGTATTTGCCCTGGTTTATTCCCAAGTTTGAAAATGGTTCGTTGCAGAACAAAAGAAACATGAGCAGAATGAAGGAGAATTTGTGCATTGTTTATATAATGCTAAGGGAGCTAATAGCTACGTGCATTTATAACAATTTTGCACTACAGAACTAAGATTGTCTACCAAGGGATGCATTTTATAAATTCACAGGAAAGTTACAAGACAGTACTTATCCCGTAAATCAGTTAAATACGTAAAATGGTGCTTTCAGGTCACAAGAAGCTGCCTTTCACATGCTTGTGTGTATATGCCTCTCAGGATGGGACAGCGCATTCTGGTGCGCTGTGACAGCCCTTTGAGCACTAGACTTTTCAATTCCCATTTCAAGCACAGGATGGGGGCATCAGCGGATAAATACGGCCTGTCATTCCCTGTGCAACATTTTGGATGTGTATATAGAAATGAGATTATACAGGATTCTGAATGCAGTCAAATATTTAACCTCAGCCGAGTCAGATTAAAATACAAAAAATGAACAAAACATACAGATGCAAAAAGATTTCCTTACGTTTTTGCCTATTTTTTAATGCATCTTTGGTTTAAGTCCAAGTTGTACTTTGCTTTATTACCATAGATTCTCAAAATGTCAAAATCGGTTCTGAGTGAACAATGCAAATTTATATTGGAAAATACGTATTTGAATACATGTACACTATGTATCTATTCAGAATACAAAGCAAAAGAGTAGTCCACCCAAAGGCCTTTCAGTATGACACCCTTTTCACTGTGGAAAAAATTGTAAATATTTTAAAAGCTAGGATGTTTTATCTCTTCACTTTCTATGTTAAATAATTAGCATAATTAATTGGTCCTTCTCCATAATCAATTAGTTTCAAACAGCAGGTCCTATGCACATTGTTCTCAGTTTAATAGGCACACAGGAATCTGTTAAGTATTAAAACTACTATTACACTGTAATGTCTGTTATGATCTTTCTCTAATTTTTCACATTTGGACTCTGGTACACTTCTATAATAGAGATACGTAATTTAGCCTTGACTAGCGTAACATTTAGTCTCAGTATAGGTTTTTGGCTGTACTTAAAGAGGAATTTCAAAGGCTAAAATCTGAAAGATTTGTAAGGTCTAATATAATGGGAACCTCCATTTTTCTAAAATGTATATCATTTACAAATAGAGGACATTTTTAGACTCACTGAGCATTCTCGTGTACATGTTTGCCAGCATTTAGTTCTACAGAGTCGGCTATGCATGTAATCCGTGAAGAGAAAAAATTGCAAGTGGACTGTTCTAATATTATGATTAAAATGTTTGAAACATCCTTTTATACAGCTGTTACAGAAATTCTGTTAGATATTAAACAAATTAAAATGTTAAATCCCACATTTATCACAAATTGCAAGTCATGAAAAATGAAGTGAGTATAAGAGGAAAAAGAAGCAGGGGAGGGAAAATATGTTTGTATTTTAAAAGACATTTCTTCATTATCCTGAGGTCCTCAGATATGTCACCCATAGGTATTTCAGCCTGCTTGCAATGTAAGGATGGAAAAAAGGCATATCAGTCACTGGTAGCAGGAGAGCCTCATGTTTCCCGTTTTATTTCCTTTAAACATTCTTTCTCATCATGGAATTTTTTAACAGAAAACCCAAACTTAATTTTAAATTTCTTCTGTCCCCATAGTGCTTCTTCCCTTTCTGATTCGTTTGCAGAAGCTGGCACCAGTATAGACTTCTGAGGATGAACTGGCCCAAGAAGGCTAGGAACAAAAGGAGAGCTGTGGCTCCTAATTTCTGCCCTGGTTTGAGTGTCTCACTGGAAAACTCTAGGTGCAGGATGCTCTTTGGCCTCTCTACGATCAGCTAGTCCAGGAATGAAGGAGGAAGTAACTGAGAAATGTTTTACCAGAAGATGAAGTTCTCTATAAAGAGGTTAAGCATTGTCACAAAAACCAAAATGTAATTCTTATTTGAGGACACTACATATACATGTATATGAGTGTGTATATATGCATATATATGTATATATGTACCTCTACAAGCAATAGCTCTTGCTGCCCATCCAGTCATCCTTTTATCACCCCTGCATTGCACCTGTCACTTCTGTTGGCACATAGCTGTGAAAATCTTTACTGTAAATTCTCTCTCCAGTCTTAAGTGCAAGGAAACCTTTTTTGAAGGGATTCACCCCTTAGCTAAACTGCATGACGTTTGTCAAATACCAGATGAGGGGAAAGATGTCTGTCCTGGGCCCCAATCTATTTGGCTAGTATAGTGCAAAGCATATGGTTGCACCAACTCCAGAGAGAAAACCAGCATTTCCACATCTGAGCAGAGTAAAATCTGTTCTTTATCTAGCGATCTCCTCACAAACAGGAAGAGGAGTGCCAGAGCTTATGGCAGAAAATTGGTTAGACAAATCAGAACCTACACTTAGGAGTGTCCTCGTTCATTTCAGGTGCATTTGGTGAGCCATCAGTTGACCTTTTTGCACCCGTAAGTGGCAGTGAAGTACCTTCTGTCAGGCCCAGGATGTGAGCTGATAACTTCCTCCCTCTTGAAAAACCTCTCCTCATGCAAAGATGGACAAGTTTGTGAGCATCTGTCTTTTCCCCAGCTCTCTAGGACCCTACTGTGTATCAAAAGAAATGAAAACCAATGAAATTGCTTGTCCAGCTCCCCAGAAATGATGCAGCTCTGAGCAGCTTTGTTTGTAATAACTTAGATTGGGCAGTCTGTGTTTCTCATAGCAGAAGTCTGCTGTATATGTACAGTTCACGCCTGCCCAGACAGCACTTTGGGACTCAGTTTGGGTCCAGCGTGGCCCATTACTAGTGTCTGCTCAGTACTAACCCTGCAACTTGTGTGCTGGCTCTGTGCGGAGATGTTCTCGTATATCTGGTTTGTGTTCCCTGGTACCAGCTTTTCCATTACTGCAAATAATAGAAGCTGTTTGGATAATATTATCAGCATGGGGGACAAATTCTGTACAAATCCTAACATAAAGTTTCCTTAGAACAAATATTATTCCAGCTCTCTGGGAGGCAAGAGAACCTAGTAGGTTTTACAGAGTAATTTATATTAAACTCCTGCAAGGAACTCTCTTATCTTCCATCCATCAGGCGATACTTTCTGGTAGCTACTTTCTCTTACCAGACAAGTTTTACAGCTGGAACTTCTGCAGCTGATACTTATCGTTGTACTCAGAATTCAGATATCCACTTCTCACAGTTGTCTGAACATTCATTTCCAGAATAAACCAAGACAGTTAAGGCACTGGTTTAAAGAGATGATCCTACTTCTTGTCCTCTTCTGCAGATCTGGTCTGTGGGTTTTTCCCTGATGCTCAGGAAAATGTGTTTATGCTTAACATCACATTTCACTCCTGTAAGTGTTAAAAGTCCATAAACTCAGCTTAGCCTAGAAACCGACAGTCTAGGCTAGAGATGGAAGTAAACATGCAAAGCTCTGGATTTGTTCAGTTACGGAGAATTTCTGACCATCTGCAACAGGACAGATTGTTGCACGTTTTCCACCGTATATATATAATACTTTAGAATTTAGGAAAGTAGAATTGTTCTGGCCACGGTAGCTGTCACCTTCAGGGTACGTTCATGGCCGGAGCAGTTCCCTGCTGCCAGTGACGCCTGATCTGCCATCAGGCTGTGAGCAAGCTGAAATGTCTATTTCAACAAAAATATAGACCGTAATGCTCAAGAAAGGGAGGTCCCAGGTAAGTTCAAACTCCTGTTGTTTTTATATTTGTCCCAGCAGGTTGATTTTTCTTTGACTATGCCCTTTAGCGAGGGAAATACCTTGCCAGAGGACTTGGCTTGTAACACCGTAGTTCCATTAAACAGTTTACAGCTAGAGGGTATGCAGGAGCAATTAGTCAGTTTTAAATACCTTCTTTGAAAGTTAAATTGTTCCTTCATTACAATCTCTGTGTAGTTTTTTAAATACAGCAGTTGTGCTATTCTCACAGAGTTGATTGAGTCAGGCAAGGAGCAAGTATCAATTAATTAGATTAATATTTTAAACTTAGAAATATGTAATTATAGATACTAGTGATTGTTCATTGAGCCTGAATTGAAATTAAAATGAATCTGTTTTAATTTGCTTTATAAATATCACTGAAACTGCAAAATACTCCTTTGCTTTCCAGTTTTGCTCAGTTCTTTAAATTCTCCTTCTCGGACTATTTGCTGACTGTAGATCATCGATACACTTGAAAAAATACCTACACTGGAAAAAAATGCCCATGCTTAAAAAATGAAGTTCAGTTTGCAGCTGGCATTCAGACCCCAAAAAACAGAAGTTGGATATTATTCTCTTTTTCTGATCAGATGTACAAAGTCAGTGAGTATAAGACTTGAGATGCAGGTCAGACCTGTAGTTACAGAGGAAGCGATTTCCAGTGTAAACAGAAAACAGAAATGGTAAAGGCCTGTCTTTTCTTTTCTTCTCATACAAAGAGGTTCAATGTTCCAATTTTCCATGGGCGAGGCTTCTTATTTTTTCCTCTAGCTTGCTTGTAAATCAGTGAATTTTTTCTTTGTAGTTTGGAGAACGTTCAGTATCCCTACCAACTCTACATTGCTCCTTCTACCAGCAGCACAGAGAGACCCAGCCCAAACGGCCCAGATAGACCTTTTCAGTGTCCAACCTGCGGGGTCCGGTTCACTCGCATTCAGAACTTAAAACAACACATGCTTATCCACTCAGGTAAGAAACATTTCCGTTCCCAAGAATTATTAATTTATAGACCCACAGAGGTTTGCTCACTGTGCAGCGAACAGAGTAATGCAATTCTTTTTTAATCACCTGTCAAGAGCTTTAGAACTGGTTGTAGAAAGCCTGGATAGAGGTACGCCTCATTGAATGCATGTTTTGATACATCACATCTGACTGATGGTTGTACTTATGGATGATTAATGTTTGTATGGACTGAAAAAATTCTGATTGCTTGAAAGCCATCTGAATAAATCATTGTCATGATAAGATTTGAGACGAAATGAAGTATTATTGGCTTTGTTATTATATTAAAGAAGTGGTGTAGACTGATTCTTCTTCTTAGATGTTGTAATTGTCTACTGTGTTGTAGAGGAGACTCTCAGCCAAAAAAAAAAAGTTTATTTTACATACTTGTGTTGAAGAATGTCATCTGCTTCTGAATCTCGTAATTTTGGGAGGGGAGGTTGAAGAACAATGTAATTGGTTTGGTAATCAATTTAGCTACTGTAGACAGTACAGGTAGCCAAAGTTTTGTGTGAGTGCTTCTGCAGAGTCGGTCTTGATCGGCAAATTTCACTGTATTCATTTTGATTTTTAACCTAACTATGAACTGTTAATATCTTTGCTATCAGTATTTTTCAAGACTTGTCATCAATATCTGATGATAACATTGACATCTTACTGAATGTAAGGGGAATATAAAGGGTTGTTGCAGCTGAGCAAAAACCTAAACGTTTTAGCATCTTCTGGTTTTATCGTGACTCTTACCTGCACAAAGATGCAATACTGTTTTTGTGCAGAGCAACCGCAATTCTCAAGGCATAATTTTTTCACTGTCAGCAGTTATTTGTCAAATCCCTTCAGGCAAAATGACCGTATTCTGTTTAGGCCAGCAGCAGTAATCTGCATTTCATATTTAACAAAAGCAAAGTGAGTGGGCATATCAGTTATCCCAAATAGGTTGCTGAAGTCTTAATTGATAGCAGGCAAGCTTCAGCAAACCATCTCTGCCTGACCTGTCCCTTGGCAACCCCTGGGCAAAGTTGGGAGAGATCTGAATACCTGTTTTAGAGTAAACAGTGTGCAAAAGAAACTCTTAAACCTCGTATAAGTTGAAAGTGCTTTCACATAAACAAAATGACTGGGGATTTTCCTCGAACTTTATGAGGAAGTAGATGCCCTTGGAGAGTAAGCTAGCCTGAAAAGTTTTAGGTCCACAAGAGAATATTTTAGAATATTAACTTGTTTTCACATGCTTGACAAGGAGTTTCAGTGTAACCTTAACTACAGCCTTTACTAAATAAAAGCCCCAATTAAAGGTTCAGCTCCCACTTGAACATAAGGAAAGCAGAGTGAAAAACGAGCAGAATTAACAGCCTGCAGGGGCTGATGCTCATTCAGCCCTTTGAAAAAAACCTTTCTTCCTCCTTGACATCTCTAGTATGAATTGAGTTCCGGATTCTTGGCCTCATGTTTGGATTTCCACACTTTCTGGGGTTCAGACTTTTTATTGAATCTTAACTTTTCAGCGATTCCGCCTTTTATGTTGTAGTAGTTCTGTTTGGCTGTGATTACTTCCTGTCAGCCACTGCAACATGCTGCAAAGCCCATATGTTTTGGGGTTTTATTGGTGTGTATAATAAACAAGAAATGAACCAGTAACAGGATTTCTAAAATAACATGAGAGAAAATGAGAGGCATGAACTTAAATGGTCTTACAGAACTGTCTGTCACGCAAAGCTGCTGAAAATGTACATATAGAAGGGTTCCCACACAATATAAAGGCTGTTACTTCACCCTTTTATCACCATTCCTGCTGCATTACAGGGGCATCCTTGTGCGCAGACAGTCCTGCCAAAACACTTCTCTGAGGCCAAAGGCAGCCAGAAAAAGACATTGCAATTAAGGGTCGCCTGATAATTGCATTGTTGGGAACCAGTCTGGCACAAGAATCTTCCAAGATCAAAAGCATTCAAAGATGGTTTGAGATGCTGACTGCATCAGATATTTTTTAGCCATGGCTCAAGATCTTAACCTTAGTGTAATCCATGGACGCTTATGTTCGTTTTAAACTGTGAAGAAGCGGTGTAAGAGTTAAAGATGGATCGCGTTGTTATGAAATTTATTGGCCGTTGGTTCTGAGTAATCATAGCTCTGTGCTAATTGTTTTTGCCATTTTAAAGTTAAACAGACTGTTTCTTCTTAAATCAGCACTTCGTTTTGAGTGACTACAGCTGGTGTCCTTTTGTTGTTAGAAATCTGGAGGGATTTTGCCAGTGACCTCTGATTACAGAAGGTGAACATTTTTGCTCTCTCTCCTACAGGCATTAAACCATTTCAGTGTGACCGCTGTGGGAAAAAGTTCACCCGAGCTTACTCGCTAAAGATGCATCGCCTGAAGCACGAAGGTAAACGCTGTTTCCGGTGCCAGATATGTAGTGCCACTTTCACTTCCTTCGGGGAATATAAACACCACATGCGGGTTTCCCGGCATATTATCCGCAAGCCTCGGATTTACGAGTGCAAAACATGTGGCGCCATGTTCACCAACTCTGGAAATTTAATCGTTCACCTGAGGAGCTTGAACCATGAAGCGTCAGAGCTAGCAAACTACTTCCAGAGCAGGTGAGGTGCACAGCAAAAACCTAACAGGGAAACTTGCTTTTTTTTTTTTTTTTTTCCTAAATCATCTTTTCCTGCTTTCAGGGCAGCCTGCTGTGCCTCTCATCAGGTTGCCAGCTAATTCCAGTCAAATTCATTCTTGCACCGCTATCTGTTATATCTGATCTGTTTTACAGTGTATAAACTATATACAAGAACACTGAAGAATCCAGTGATATGCAGAAGCTGCTTCTGGGCTACTTATTTCTCTTTTCAGTAGTATCTATGAACAGGTTAATAATGTTAAGCCATATCATTCTGTACTGTAGTATCTGTGGAGTTCTGTAAATGATATAAGATCCAAACTCTTGTACATTCCCTGTTCATTTGTATAGGGAGTAGGTATATGACT